TTTTATCAAAGGCTTTTTCTGCATCTAATGATATGATCATGTGGTTTTTGTTTTGACATCTGTTGATGTATTTAATTACATTTATGGTTTTACGAATGTTGAACCAGCCTTGCATGCCAGGAATGAAGCCTACTTGGTCATGGTGGATGATTTTGAGATGTATTGCTGAATCCGGTTTGCTAGGATCTTGTTGAGAATTTTAGCATCTATGTTCATCAAAGATATTGGCCTGTAGTTCTCTTTCTTTGTTGGATCTTTACCTGGCTTGGGTATCAATGTGATGTTGGCTTCGTAAAATGATTTGGGGAGAGTTCCATCTTTTTCAATTGCCTGGAATACCTTCAGTAGGATTGGTATCAGCTCCTCCTTGAATGTCTTGTAGAATTCTGAATAACACATTTTTGAACTTATTAAATTCTAAGTTGATTGACTCTCATTTTGTTCTCAGTAAAATCTTGGTTCAAAATGTTATTGATCATTGCATAAGTATCCAGTAGAAAACAATTTTCTAATGTTATTGATCATCTTTAAGTGACAAGTAGAAAGAGAATTAATTTTATGAACTTATATTTATGGGCTCCTCAGATTTTTACTGTTTGTAGACATACAATTCTAGAAAACTAGTTTTGAATAAAAATTTTCCTTTTGGTAAAGATCCCCTGTGATTCCATGAATTTTGCCGCATGTTTAAAAGAATAACATGCATATTTAATATCTGGCATGTAACACCAATATATATAGTTTCCTTTCTACCTTTACCCTCTTAAAAGGACTGTGATTATTTGATAAAAGAACAGCGATGAAGAACACCTTGAAGATCATTTAGATTTGTATTTGTCTGCTAGGCTACATTTCCAGTGGCTTCGTCTACCTAATGATGTACTGGAAATCTGGCTATCCAGAAAAAATTCACCCTGATTTGTAATGTTTGCTGGTTTCTGTGATCTAAATATTTCCACCATGGTAGATTTTAAGTTTCTAAGGCCGTAGCAACTGGCTCACAAAATTCTTGTATATTTAATAATTGACTCATGAGACAATAGGAGCTAGTTCTAGCATGCCACTGTGCCTCACTGCATGTGCATGTCATTTCATTACATCCTCACCTTCAATATCAGGCCTACCCTACCCCCAGTCTTCATCATGTTTGGTTTTCTGGAACGTTTTCTGTACCAGGGACAGCATTACCAAAGAATGTGAAAAATTCTTGAGTTGCCATTTTAAGATTATTCGTATTCTATTAAAAAATTAAAAGTTTGCATACTGTTCTATTTATTGTTTTAGACTGTATTAAGAATATGTTGTGTTCAATGAAGATAGTTTTCAGTACTAAATTGATTGATAGAATAATTTAATTATAGACAGTTCTAATCAGTTATAGACAGTTATAATCAGTTCACTGATTTTAGTTAAAGGCTGAATTTATGCTTACCTAAAGTAATAGTAATTTATGTTTTCATGCAGCTAAAGGATCTCTTAAGAAGAACTGTAGAAGGATTTGTAAAACTCTTTGATCCACAGGATCATCAAAAACTGCCAATATTTAAGATGGAATTGATGTTTGATGATGATAAAATGGAATTTTATCCTACCTTTCAAGATTTGGAGGATGTTATTTTGAGTTTGGTAGAACGAATTTCTGGAGCTCTTCAGGTATTACATTATCATTACCCAAAGGATTTCTTGATAAGACTCTTTTAAAGAATTTTAAATTATATATATATAGTCACAGCTCTTAGTTTTATTTTTCTTCCTTGAGTTATATTAAATAAGAAAGTACTTTCTCTTTGAAAAAGTCTTCTGAAAGGCAAAACTGTGGAGACAATAAAAAGCTCAGTGGTGTCCAGGGTTTCGTGGGGAGAGAAGTATGAATAGGCAGAGCACAGTGGGTTTTTAGGGCAGTGACGCTACTCCGCAGGATTCCATAATGATGAATTCATGTCCTTATACATTTGTCCAAACCTATAGAATTTAGAATACCAAGAGTAAACCCTAATGTAAACCATAGACAGTGGATGATACTGATATGTTGATATAGGCCATTGATGGTAACATTAACTACTCTGGTGGGAGATGTTGATAGTGGAGGATATGTGTGTAAGAGTAGGGGATATATGGCCCATCTTTATACCTTCCTCTTTATTCTGCTGTGAACCTAAAATTGCTCTAAAAATAAAGTCTATTTTTAAAAACTATATATATGTATATATATAGTGTGTGTGTGTGTGTGTGTGTGTGTGTGTGTGTGTATGTGTATAGTCTCCTGGATGGAGATGACATTTTTCTTCTTAGACTTCTTAGAACTTTTCTTGTACTTATAAGTTGATATTTTTATGCATGTTTTATCTTCCCTACTGAGTTGTGAGCTTCTTAAGAGCAAGATCCAATTCATATTTGTTTTTTCTAGAGCTTTCTAGTATAATTACTTTGACATTACTTAGTAAATATTTGTTGAAGGATAGAAAACTAACCCAACTTAAGTTTTATTTATTTATTTTTTAGAAACAGAGCCTTGCTATGTTGCCCAGGCTAAAGTACAGTGGTTATTCACAGGGGCAATTATAGTGCACTTCTCCCTTGAACTCCTGGGCTCAAGCAGCCTACCTACCTCAGCCTCCTGAGTAACTGGGATTACAGACATGCACCAGTGTGCCAGACTCAACTTAAGTTTTATATTAGACTACTAACTATATAATTTTATATAATTGGTTTTTTTTGAGTTGGAGTCTCACTGTCGCCCAGATTGGAATGCAGTGGCCACTCCCGGCCACCACAGCCTCGACCTGCTGGGCTCCGGCAATCCTTCCGCCTCAGCCTTCCAAGTAGCCGGAATTACAGGTGCGCGCTACCACGCCCAGCTGATTTTTTTATTTATTGCAGAGATGAGGTCTCGCTGCCCAGGTGGGTCTCGAACCTGCAGGCTCAGGCAAGCCACTCACCTCAGCCTCCCAAAGCGCAGGATTAAAGGCTGAGCCACCGAGCCCGGCTTATAATTGTTTTTGAATCGATGTCTCACTCTGTTGCCCAGGCTGGAGTGCAGTGGAACGCTCACTACCACCGCAGCCTCAATCTCCTGGGCTCAGGCGATCCTTCTGCCTTAGCCTTCCAAGTAACTGGAACTACAGGCACGCGCTACCACGCCTAGCTTAGTTTTTGATTTATTGTAGAGATGAGGTCTCACCAAGTTGCCCAGGCTGATCTCAAACCCCTGAGCTCAGGCAATCCTCTCCTCTCGGCCTCCCAAAGTGCTGGTATTACAGTATATAATTTTAATTCATTATTCATATCTATTGCTAGTTATTTAATCTTTTGCTACTGGAATCTGAAAGGAATGTTTGAAAACATAGTATAAGATCTACATATAGATTCATTGCACAGTTAAATAATTACTGCATACATTGTTGTTTTTATTTGTGTTAGAATGTCCAAACAATACCCTCTTGGCTCTCAGGAACCTCAACACCTGTAAATCTTGACACAGAACTTCCTGAACATGTGTTACAATGGGCTCTCGATACGTTGAAGGTGGCAGTACATCAGAATTTAGAAGGTGCAAAAAAACACTATGAGACATACGGTATATGACATATATATTCTACCTTTTTAATTATTTTATTTTTACTGGGATTTGGCCAGATATTTGATTGTCTGTGACTGTTATGAAAGAGCAAGGAGAATCAAAAGTGAGCATAGACATGGCTATTGGCAGAGACAAGGATCGAACACCAGAAATTTTGTCTGGTCTAAAGGGTGAATGTTAACTGGAGCAAGCTGAAAAAGTCAAAAGGCAGAAAGAAGAGATATTGAAATAAGTCAAAGGTGAATGCAAAGTAATCACTAAGAATAACTTTGAGGATTCTGCAGCTGAATTTTTTTTTCTTCTATAGTTTCTTCAAGTGTGTGAAGTCAGAATTGATAGTTGTTATTTGACATTCTGTTCACCAAAATCTTCTAGTAACTGTTGCATCTGTACCTCAAAGTTGTTTTAAGAGCCTCAAATACTATATTACTTTCATTAAGAAATGTCTGTGTTTAACTTGGTGTGCTTTTAAGTGTCTTTTCTACCTGTTTCCTTAAAATATAGTGAATCGTGTATATTAATACTCTATTATTAATATTTAATTGAGTAGTTACTTCATTGCCTGATTATATTTAAAAAGCATTTTGCATTTTTAAGGGGTTATGATCTCTATTTTAATTAGATTTTTAATTTTCAGTTGAAAAATATAATTGGCTCCTTGATGGGACTGCAGTTGAGATTATAGAGGCTTTTCAGGCAGAAGATCATACTTTTGATGAATACATGGAGGTAAGTGGTAATTCTGTTTTGAATTTTGAAATTTTTTTGTAAATTTAGGATCTTTTTATTCTAAAAAGTGCCTCAAATAAAATTTCTTTTTCAAAACATCATTTTAGTAAAAATCACTGCCTTATCTCATAATTTTTTAGTCATTCATTTACTTATTGATTCGACAAAAGTTTCCTCATCCCATTTACATACCTTGCAAGGTATTGGTGATGCAAAAATAAATGATACATAAACACTTTGATCAGGAGTTTATTTTTAGCCTGGAAATAACAACTATAATATATTGAGATAAGTATTGCAATGGAGATATGAACAAAGTATTGTTTGCTTTGGGAAACTATTCAAGAAATGAAAAGTGAGCTAGTCTTTGAAGTAGATGTTTATAGATAGAGAAGGGGGAGAAATGTTGTGTGAACAAAGACCAAAAGTGTTCAAAGGTATTCAGAGAACATCAGATAAGTCAAAATAGCTAAAAAGTAGGTAATAGAAATATAGAACATGACAGATTTAGAATATGATGAAGATGGAAATTTAAGTTGGAGCCACATGAGAGATACTGGGTATTTTTGCTCAAGAGTTAATACTGTGTACTGAAGGTTTTTTAGCCATGGGAGTAATATATTTAGATCTGGGTTTTATTTTATATATTTTTTGGATTTGGTTCACTCTGTCATCCAGGCTGGAGTACAGTGATACACGATCATGGCTCATTACAGCCTCGACCTCCTGGCCTCAGGCAATCCTTCTGCCCCAGCCTCCCTAGTACCTTGGACTACAGGTGTGCATCACCATGCCTGGCTAACTTTTTTATTATTTGTAGAGACAAGGTCTTGCTATGTTGCTTAAGCTGTTCTTGAACTCCTGGACTCAAGCGATCCTCCTGCCTCAGCCTCCCAAAGTGCTAGATTACAGGTGTGAGTCACACCTGTAATCTATGAAAATTTTAAATATAGAGAAATTAAAGGAATTTTACAAAGCATACCACTTAGATTCTAGCATTTTACTATATTTGGTTAATCGCATATTAATATTTATCAATTCATCCCTTTTTTCATTCTTTATTAATTTCAAGAACAATTAACTTTTTTTTTTGGAGTTGGAGTTTCACTCAGTCACCCAGGCTGAAGTGCAGTGGCATGCATGCTCACAACCATCCCAGCGTTGACCGGCTGGGCTCAGGTTATCGTTTTGTCTCAGCCTTCTAAGTAATGGGAACTACAGGCGTGTACTACCACACCCAACTAATTTTTTTTGATTTATTGTAGAGATGAAGCCTCGTCAAGTTGCCCAGGCTGTTCTCAAACCCATGGACTCAGGCAGTCCCCTCACCTTGGCCTCCCAAAGTGCTGGGGTTACAGGCTTGAGTCACCGCGCCCAGCCCAATTAACTTTTAAAAAATCAACTTTATTGAGGTTTAGTTTGCATACAATAAAATGCACTCATTTTAATTGTACAGTTATATGAGTTTTGACAAATTTACATGCACATGTAACTATCACTAGTGTCAAAATATAGAACATTTCTACCACCTCACAAGGTTTCCAAAAAGTTTATGACCTCATCCTGGTCAATCTCCCCAACGCTTATCTCAGGCAACTGCTGGCATGCTTTCTTTACCATAGGTTAGATTTTTCTTTCCTAAAATTTCATATAAATAGAACCATACATACATGTGCATATGGTTTCACTTATTAGATCAAGCTTTTGAAATTTATCTTGTTATTGTATCAGTTCATTTCTTTTATGCTGAGTGGTATTGAGTGGTGTTTCACTGCATAGATATATGATTTATTTATCCATTCACTTTTTTTTTTGAAAAAGCAGATCCACTTTATTTACAATGATCAGTTGGTGACACATAGATCTTTGGGCCTTTGTGGCCTTGTGAAACCATTCACCTTTTGATGGACATTTAAGTTGTTTCCAGTTTTTGGCTATTATGAATAAATTTACTATGGTCTTTTTTTTTTCTTTTTCAAATATCAACATCTTATTTCAAACCATTTTCTTTTTGCATACTGTGGTCTTTTGTATACAAGTCTTTGTGTGGACATATGCTTTCTTTTATCTTTCTAGGAGTTGGATTGCTGGGTGGTGTGGAAATTGTATGTTTAACTTTTTTGGAAACTTTAAGCTAGGCACAGTGGCTCACACCTGTAATCCTAGCTACTTGGGAGACTGAGGTGGGAGGATTGCTTGAGGCCAGGAATTTGAGACTAGCTTAGGAAATATAGTGAGAACTTGCCTCTAAAATTAAAAAAAAAAATTATTTGGCTATGGTAAGCACCTCTAGTTCTACCTACTTGGGAGACTGATGTAGGAGGATCTCTGGACCTCAGGAGTTTGAGGCTGCAGTGAGCTATGATCATGCCACTGTTCTCTAGGCTGGGTAACAGAGCAAGACCTTGCTTGCAAAATAAAAAGAAACTTAAATATTTTTCAAAGTTGTTATACCATTTGAAATCTCACCAGTAGTGTTTGAGATTTTCAGTTCTTCCATATTCTTTCCAACCTTAGGAAATCTCAATCTCAGGGGGAAAAAAAAGTAAAGTAGTTAAAAACTCCAGCTGTTCTATATGTGTATGTTGGTATCTCATTGTGGTTTTCATTTGCATTCCCTGATGACTAATGATGACTTTGTTGGGGCTCTGAAGGTTACCAGTGATTTTTCATTGGTTTTTCTTCATTTGTAGCGGTTCTCTTGTCTTTCTCTTTAATTCTCTTGCTCAGTGGGAAGTGGAGAAGCAATCGCTTCTGATATTTGCTATACCTTCTGCCCTTTCCTCAGCCAGGGCTCCAGGTTTATTTAATCATAAAATAGGGCTGCGGGTGTGGCGTTGTGATGTCTCTACAATTTTGAGCACTTACCAAGGGGTAGGGGAGGGGCTGCAAGGATTCAGAACTTACTGATGGGTCACAATACTTGCTATTTGGTGAATGGACCAGCTGGGATTCACTCTCTGTTTCCACACAGTATAACCTTATAACGGGTATGCTTATATAGTCTCTGAGTCCAAGACAACAGATAAGAGAGAAAAGAGAGGGAAGGAGAGAAAAAATGGAAAGAAAAACGGGGGGGTGGGGGACAACACAGAGAAAGAACAAAGAGAAAAAGGAGGAAAGAAAAGAGAAAGTCAATCAAATGACAAACAAATAAAGCAAACAGATGAGACGAACAAACAAACAATAAAAAAAGAGAAAAGCAAACAAAAAACCAAACCCAAACCCAAAAAACCTGTTGGCAAAAATTTCTCAGCTTTAGTATATCTCTTTGAAGGCGGGGGCTCCCTCTTTTGGCAGGTTCTACGACTATAGGTCTGTTACTGCAGGTTGTTCCCAGTTGAAACTTGTGGTGTTACAATCTTTACCCTCTGCTGCCGGCAATTGATAGTCTGCAGGCCCCCCTGGGGGAGAGATAACTTGACTAAATGTCTCCTGGGCTCTCTTCCCCCGCCTTCCTTTCCTAGTGTGGTCATAGCTCCCACGCCATCCAGTTTGTGGCGGGGGAATGGGGCCTCCAGCCTCTGCCCTGACCCCCTGATCTCTTTGTTGATTGCTAGGGGTGGGGGGAATTATGCGTCTATTGCCCAGTAGCTAGCTCGGGGCGGGAGGTGAATCCTCTGGGGTTCCTAATCTACCGTTACCCACCAGGGCTTGTGCACTGGGGGCAATGCTGTCCGACTTCATGGAGAGCAGCCCCAAAGCAATGTAGCGATCACCCCCTGGTCTTAATAAGCAGGTTTGCTGTTCCACAGGGGCTGCCCTGGAGCACTTGTCTGCCAGGTTTTAGAGTGGCTGTTCAGGTTCTCTACTGACTGCTATTCCTGCTGCAAATGGTGCTGGGAAAGATAGCTCCCTCCCAGCAAGTACCACAATCTCCAGATCTTAGCTCCCAGGCAAGACCGTATAGCCTAGTCTGGTGCCGAAGGCGGTGGCAACAAGACCAGGTTCGGGGTGGCCTCTTGCAGCTGCTTCTTCCGGGACTCTGCTTCTGACTCCCTCACTGCGCTTTCTCTGAGGCGCTCACTGCCAATATTTTGGTGTCTTTGTTGAATATCAATTGCCTCTATATTTGTGGATCTTTTCCAGATTCTCTTATTTTCCACTGATTTACATATTGATTCTTATGCCAGTACCATACTGTGTTGATTTTTGTAGTTTAATTGTAAGTTTTAAAATCAGGTAATGTAAATTCTGCAACTTTGTTCTTTTTCAAAATAATTTTAATTATTTTAGGTCCTTTGCATCTCCCCATAAATTTTAAAATTAGGCTGTCAATTTCTAAAGAAGCCAGCTAGGATTTTGGTTAGGATTGCATTGAATATTTGAATCAATTTGAGAAGAATTGCCCCCTTAAAATGGAATCTTTCAATACATGACTATAGTATGTATTTAAATCTGTTTAGACTTTCTTTAATTTCTCTCACAATGTAGTTGTGCTTTTCATTATATAGGTCTTGCAAATATTTTCCTAAATCTATAAATCTATTTCTCACAATGTTTCAGGTTTACTTGATTTTCTTGTAAATGTTATTGTTTAATAGCAATTTTCATTTGTGTTGCTATTATATAGAAATACAATTAATTTTTTTTTGAGTCAGTATCTCATTCTGTCGCCCAGGCTGGAGTACAGTGGCATGATCACAATGATCATGGCTCACAGTGGTCTCAATTTCTAGAGCTCAGGTGATTCTTCTACTTTAGCATACCAAATAACTGGGACTATAGGTACAGGCTGCCACACCTGGCTAATTTTTTTGATTTTTATGTAGAGACGAGGTTTTGCTATGATGCTCAGGCTGTTCTTGAATTCCTGGACTCAAACTATCCACCTACCAACCTACCTTAGCTTCCCAAAGTGCTGGGATTACAGGTATGAGCCACTGCATTTAAAAAATATTTTTCTGTATCTTGAGAGTGCAGTGGCATGATCAAGGCTCACCACAACCTTGACCTCCTGTGCTCAGGTGATCCTTCCACCTCAGCCTTCTGAGTAGCTG